TTTCATCTGTCATCAACCTAATGGTCCACCATCCGCCAGACCAGTCACTTCAGCCGCACTCGCAGATCGGCACTTCACCATTGCCGAAACCTAGTGGCGAAGAAGTAGGCTAACCTGTTGGAGGCAGGAGCATTAAGAGTAGGTGCAATACACACCCAAAATGGATCGTCCAACACGGGTTGTAGTGCCAAAGAAGTAATGGCAAATGGCGGTTGTCATAGCGTCGACGAACGAAAACAACGCTGTCAACAAGGCGTTACCCCAAAGACAGCTTCCCTCTACCACGATAGATTCAACTGGTTAGATCCCTAACGGCTCGGGGCCACAACGACTTAGCTTTCTTGGATGCATACAGAGGCTACCACCAAATCGCCATGCCGATGAACCAGACCAGCGAGGCTTCACATCCTTTACAAGCTCCATGAGAGGTACTATACTGTTACAAGGTCAGTGCCCTTTGGCTGTCGAAATAACGCTAGGGGCAACATTTCCAAACGAATAGTCACCAAGATGTTTGAACATTGTTAGGAAAACGATGGAGGCTTACATCAACGGACATAGGTGCGTCGAAGAGCGAAGATGAAAATACATCATTCAAGGAACCTAGGAGAGATGTTTGAAATCCTGAAGAAGCACAAGTTGCGCCTCAATGCATCCAAGTGTGCATTCGGAGTAGGATCTGGCAAATTCCTGGGCTTCCTTGTGACCAACTGGGGTATAGAAGCAGACCCCTCCCAGATCAAAGCAATCCAGGATTTGAAGAGACCAAACTCAGTAAAAGAAGTGCAGCATCTCACCGGCATGGCGGCTGCACTCAATCAGTTCATAAGCCGATCGTCAGACAGGCTACGACCATTCTTTCAAGCTTTAAAAGCCAAGTTCGAATGGGACGAAGAATGCGACCAAGCACTGGAAAGCCTGAAAGAATACATGTCCTCTCCACCATTGCTGGTCACCCCAATACCAGGAGAAGAACTCTTCCTATACCTTGCAGTCTCTCAGCACGCAATTAGCGCAGTGTTGGTCCGTGTGGAAGGAATTCAACATCTGCCCATCTATTATGTCAGCAAGACATTGCTGGGAGCCGAAACAAGGTATTTGCCACTGGAAAAACTGGCATTAGCCTTGATGATGGCCTCCAGGAAATTGGCACACTACTTTCACGCTCACATCATAGTCGTCCTCACAGCTTTCCCACTAAAAGCTTTGTTTGAGAGGGCGAACTTTTCTGGGCGAATTTTGAAGTGGGCAGTAGAGCTGGGACAATTCGACGTCAAGTTCCAACCTAGAATCGTAGTAAAAGCCCAATCTTTGGCAGACTTCGTCGCAGAGTTTACTCCTGGAAGTCATCATATCTGCCCAGTCGACCTAACTAACACAACCGAACTAGGGATGGAAGATGACGCCGGAATAGCGCAATCCCTAGCAGAAGGTACTCAGTCAGACTCCAAGGCAGACCAGACTAAAGACAGCAAGGAAGAAACAAACCAAGCTTCAACAAACCAAGACTCACCAACAAATAAAGACTTGGTTCAATCAGATAGCGAGGGGCAAACAGCAAGCATAGACCTTGAAGAAAACACCAGCAACATTCTGGACCCCACGACATCATCCGACCCCTCCATTTGCTGGAAGTTGTTCGTTGGTGAGATGTGGAAGCTCTTTGTGGATTGAGCATCCAACCGGCATGGTGTAGGACTTGGCATAGTCCTCATCTCACCAGACGGCCTGGTTATGGAGCAAGCAATCAACCTTGGCTTCCCAGCATCAAACAACGAAGCGGAATACGAAGCACTGCTTGTAGGACTCAAATCAGCATACCGCATGAAGGCCACCGAATTGATGGCCTACAGTGACTCACAGTTGGTGGTAAACCAAATTTCTGGCGACTATGAAGCAAAGGATGATAGGATGGCCAAGTACCAAGAATTGGTCAGAACAAAAATCAAGAAATTTGAAGTAGTGAGGATATAACAGATAGGCAGGGAGGAAAACAGCAGAGCAAACGAACTAGCAGGCTTCGCCTCAATGGCAGACACCTCCATCCCTCATCCACTACTGATCGACTACCTACCTAGACCAAGCATTGAGGACCCTGAAGCAAAAGAGATATGTTGCGCAGAACTAGGCCCTTCATGGATGGATCCCATCATACTATTATTGAAAGACGGCGTCCTACCAGAAGAAAAGAAAGAAGCCAACAAAATTAGAGCAAAGCCACAGCGATTTTGGCTCTCCCCATCTTTGGCATTATACAAAAAGTCGTTCTCAGGACCCTATCTAAAGTGTGTCCACCCCAGCAAAGTGGAAGCATTCTTGTACGAGATACACGAAGGGGTGTGCGGAAGCCATCAAGGAGGAAGATCGCTAGCTTACAGGGCCATTTCACAGGATACTGGTAGCCATACATGCAGGCAGACTCAGAGAAATATGTGAAGAAGTGCGAGAAATGCCAAAAATTCGCACACCAAATACATCAACCAGCTAGAGAACTCCTACCATTAACTAGCCCATGGCCTTTCGCAATGCGGGGCTTGGACATAGTAGGACCACTTCTAACAGCACCCGGCAACAGGAAGTTCTTTCTCGCAGCAACAGACTACTTCACAAAGTGGGTGGAAGCAGAAGCATTGGCATCAATCAAGGAAAGAGCTGTGAAGAAGTTTGTCTGGCAAAATATCATCACTCGGCTTGGAATACCAAAAGCCCTAATCTCAGACAACAACACTCAGTTCGACGGCAGAATCTTCAGAGGCTTTTGTGAAGAGTACAAGATAGAGTTCTACAATTCAACACCAGCGTATCCTCAAGCAAATAGCCAAGCAGAAGCATCAAATAAAGTTGTCTTGGATGGACTGAAGAAAAGGTTAGAGAAGGCAAAAGGCAAGTGAGCGGAAGAACTTCCTCATGTTTTATGGGCTTACCGCACCACATCTCGACGATTAACAGGAGAAACACCATTCTCCTTAGCCTACGGAATGGAAGCAGTAATCCCACTAGAAGTTGGCCTCCCCACAATTCGAAGCGAAAATTTTGATCTTGACTTGAATGGAGAAGCCATAACATTGGAGCTCGACCTTGCGGAAGAAAGAAGAGAAAGAGCACTGGTTCACATTGCCTCATCCCAACAAGAGTTATCCAGGAAATACAACAAAACGGTGCATCCAAGACAATTCAAGATCGGAGATTGGGTACTACGCAAAGTGATGGGAAACACCTTGATACTAGGAGATGGCAAGCTAGGGCCTAATTGGGAAGGTCCTTACAAAGTGGTTGGGTTAGCAGGCAAAGGGGCATACCACCTAGAAGACAAGGACGGCAAAGCAATCCCTAGACCATGGAACACCGCCAATCTCAAGTTATTTTATTTTTAGCTTTCCTCTTTCAAACACGTGTAATTTTTTCTTTCCTCAATAAAACAAATCGATTCTCTTCAGCATAAGTTGTTCTCTGTAAAAATTAGCTTTAGTAAAGTTAGGAATATTGCAAACATTATTCTGAGTTGGCTGGAAAAACTAATTTAGAGGTTGGCCGGATTAAACCAACACCCTTCTTAAACCAACACCCTTCTTAAGCTCAGGATAAGAATCCAGGCTGCAGGACGTTTGGTCGGAATAACCAAACATTATTCTAAGTTGGCTGGAAAAACTAACTTAGAGGTTGGCCGGATTAAACCAACACCCTTCCTAAGCCCAGGATAAGGATCCAGGCTGCAGGACGTTTGGTCGGAATAACTAAACATTATTCTAAGTTGGCTGGAAAAACTAACTTAGAGGTTGGCCGGATTAAACCAACACCCTTCCTAAGCCCAGTATAAGGATCCAGGCTGCAGGACGTTTGGTCGGAATAACCAAACATTATTCTAAGTTAGTTGGAAAAACTAACTTAGAGGTTGACCGGATTAAACCAACACCCTCCCTAAGCCCAGGATAAGGATCCAGGCTGCAGGACGTTTGGTCGGAATAACCAAACATTATTCTAAGTTGGCTGGAAAAACTAACTTAGAGGTTGGCTGGATCAAACCAACACCCTTCCTAAGCCCAGGATAAGGATCCAGGCTGCAGGACATTTGGTCGAAATAACCAAACATTCTTTTCTAAATTGGCTGAAAAAACCAACTCTTAAGTACTCTTTAGCCGAACTAAAGACATCGGCTAAAAGAGTGGTTGGTTGGATTAAACCAACTCTTTGTACTCTTCAGCCGAAGTACGGATATGGCTGAAGAGTGGTTGGCTGGATTAAACCAACTCTTTGTACTCTTCAGCCGAAGTAAGAGTATGGCTGAAGAGTGGTTGGCTAGATTAAACCAACTTTTTGTACTCCTCAGCCGAAGTAATTATGTCAGCTAAAGAGTGGTTGGCTAGTAAGCGTAGTTAGATTGACCAGCTAAAACCGAGATAACAGTTGGAAGTAAAAAGATCATGGAAAAGTCATTACAAGTACAAACATACAGATCAACCGAAGTAAGAGTTCAAGAAAATTTTCATTCATCAAAAAACAAATACAAAGGAGGGGCCATAGCCCGGTTACAAGAGCAAAAAGTAGCAAAGAAGAAAAGTACAAAATCAAGTGAAAAGGTCTTCAATTTCAGCTTCAATATCAACTTGAACACCGGTTGCAGATGGAAGATCAGTCTCAGTAGCAACTGGCAGAACGATATCAGTCGATGGCTCAACAGTCAGGTCTTCAACCGTTGCCTCCAACCGAGCTGATTGATCGTTGACTTGCTCGTTGACTACCGGAGTAACAGTTTGTTCGTTTTCATCATCTTCATCATCTGAATCCTACAAAAATTGTTCTTGGACCGAAGCAGCATATTCCGCTAGTGAGGCCGGAATGAAGTACTGCGGAGCTTTGTAGACCTCGGTTTTGGGCCCACAGCCGAGCTGTTCCACAGCACTCCTCCAGCCACACTTAAAGAATAAGTCCTTCTCCCCCTCACACTGTGGAATGTAGAGGCCCTCCGCCTCTTTGAAACCTTTGGCGTTGGCATCACTGACCTTCTTCTTCAGATCTGCTATTTCGACGTCTTTTTTGCCTTTAAGTTTGGCCAACTCGCGCAAGTATTTATCTTTCACCGTTGCTACAATTTTTTGTTTTTCTGCTTCAGCCGAGCTAACAAGTCCGGTCAAGCGACCGTTCTCGGACTGTAGCTCGGCTATCAGCTTCTTGGCTCGCTCAAGCTCGGCTGTCTTTGCCTCGGCATCTGCCATGGCCTGCTTGGTAGTCTTGCGGAGCTCCAGCACTTTCTTATGCGCAATATTGTTCTTCTGAATGGCCTGCAAAAAAGAGTAGTGACTCTCTTTAACCGGACTGACAGTTGGGAAAAGTTAGACAAAGAAAAGGGAGAACCACTTACCAGGATCATTGATTTTGTTGATGACCGGATGGCCTTCAGCTCGGTGTTTAGTTGTTTGTTGTGGTGCTCCATGTCTTTTGGAAAGCAAACACTCTTGGCTAGATTGAAAGCCATCAAGTGGTCCTTCTCGGCAACAACCGAGTCAGTTTCCTGAATATTTCGATTTTGAAAGGTAAGACTTGGAGCCCATTTGGAGGAGTCAACTCGGTCAAAGTACTCCGGTTGAGGGCTTGGTTGAGGGCTGGGCGGAAGAATGGTCTCATCCTCGTCAACAAGTCGTTGCTCGGATTGGCTAGTCCGGGTACGCTTGTTCGCTCGAGATGAGGATGGCTACTGGGATGGAAGGGCTACCACGGTCTCAGTCGTCTGACCGGTTTGTGGTACCTCGGGTCTGTTAGTTTCGGTTAGAAGCGCCCTTACTCTGTTCCTTTTAGCCATTTCTTCTTCAGCGGTCAGTGGGATTAATCTGATTTCTGGCAAGGTTGGGTCCGGTTTTGGGGCCTCCTCTAGCAGAAAGTCAGTCACCCTCGCTTTTCGGCGGCCGCTGTATCTATAGGTCGGCTCGAACTTTAGCAGCTTGGCCCAACTATGTTCTGGATACCGTAGTGCGGCGCGCAAGGTCGCTTGATTTGGGTAGCTGTATAGAGAATGGAGGTGGGCAGAATCTGCGAAAGAAGACAACTATTAGTTCGGTTGAAAGATTGAAAAACCGAAATCTAGTAAAGCACGCAAGAAAACCAAAGTAAATATACCGGGTTCTCCTTTTTTCCAGTTTATACGTCGGCCAGGAATCTGGGCTTGATGATCCTCAAAATTCCCAGACACCCAGAAAAAATCGTCATCGTTTAAGTCTTTATCCGGTGTATATTTTATTATCTTCTCTCGGCGACGGCGTATTCTTAAATAGTAGACCCACCCATCTTCTTTTGAACCAATGGAGTATTGGTGGAAGATTTCAGCCAGACCGAGGTTGAGACCGGCTTGGCGGTTTAGTTCGGCTATTCCCATTATTATACGGTATGAATTGGTGGATAGTTGGGTTAGACATAGTCTGGTTTGCCTAAGAAACTCACAAATCAAGGGTTGGACTGGAAATCGTAGTCCGGCTTCAATTATGGACAAAAGGGTGAAGGGGACAAAGCCTTCATTGCCCCAAGGTATGACATCTTTTTCGGCTAAAATCAGGTGGACGTCATCGGGTATATTGTAGTCTTTTCTGAATTTGGCTAGGCCGCCCGGAGTGTTTACTAGATACCTATACTTCCCCATTTATTGTATAATTTACGAATAAATTAGTTCGGTCCAAAAAATTGTGCTCAGTAGCTCGGTTGAGCGCGCAGAGGAGTGCCTGGGCAACCTAAGTCTGCAAAGTAGAAAACAAAGGGGTTAAGCACAGATCATTGGACCGTGCTACAAAATAAAAGTAAAAAATAGGAGCCTTACTTCGGCTACGTGGATGCTACAGGTCTTATCTCGGTTTCTGCAAGGTGATTGGTAGCTCGGTTTGAGCAGGGCTTTGTTAGTTCGGGCTTGGCAAGCGTCTAGATATCTCGGTTGTGGAAACGGTTCTGTTTGACCGGTTGATCGTCTAGGGGCAGCTTTCTGAGTTCCATCTAAAAAACTAAGAAAGCTGGTTTAGCCCCAAAGGCCTAGATCGGTTGGAGTTCAGGTATCTCAGTATACTAAGTGCAAACGTAGTTTGGTTGGTTACCTCGGCTAAGGTCTATCAAGAAGTGGTTTGACTTATTCAAAGCTACTGGTGTAAACATAGAGTGTTAGTCCGGTTGTAAGCTGACTAGACTTTTACCTGGCTTAAACAGTATCCTAGTTCGGTTGCATCATGATTTTGGATCAAAAACCAATTTTCTACAGGATATTTCATATACTCATGTGTTTTATGGTTAAGTTTTTTCCATAAAAGTACAGAAGCAAAGCAAAATGGAAAAATATGTTTCGCAAAAACAAAGAAAGCAAAATACGAAAACAAAGTAAAAGTGCAGTGCTTACCTGACGAAGAGGCAAGAGTTAGAGGGAGACTAACAGTTATGAAGAACACGAGCTCAGAAGATTGAAGAAGCAGTAGAGGCACAAAGAGGGAGAAATTGCAAAGAGTGTCAAAATGAAGAAGCAATGGAGGCTCAGATAAGGAAAAGTTACAAAATATGGCAAAAATGAAGAGGCTCGTTTTAGGTAAAGGGAAAAGGGCGGGACTGTTCAAATTTCACGAAGTACGAAGACGGCGTGACAGTCGTCCTCAGTCAATCAGTGCGTGCCACGGGTCCTGGGAAGGAGGAATGATTCAGTTGCTGTGATTGAAGAGACGTTTTGACCGGACAAGCAGAGCCCGGTGTAAAATTAGCTCGGCTGAAAGGCTTAAGAGTTTTAGCTCGGCTGGAAAGGCTAAAGGGTTTTTTAGCTCGGCTGGAAAGGCTTAAAAACTTCAGCTTGGCTGATAGACAGGTAATCCCAATTATACTGTGTAGATGGAATTAAGGGGCAATTGAGAGGGTAATTTTTGTGAAAATTAGGCCGAGCTATGAGATGGTCATTATGGCCCAAAGTACGAAGGGCTGGGTAAAAAGGCCATAAAGTTACTCCGGCCCAAGAGAGGTAAAAAATTACTCCGGCCCAAGAGAAATGTAAAGTTACTCCGGTCCGGAAGTGACTTGGAGTTAGGCCGGTCTCAGAGTTAGTCCGGTCATGGCGTATTGTGTTTAGAACGGTCAGAACCTTGCTACTCGGTAGCTCGGTCTAAACACACCATGGTTTGTGCATGAGAGCACCAAGATAAGGAAGAGTAAAAGGAAGAACCGAACTAAGGATAGTTCGGCCTACTCTGCGGCTCAGCATAGCTATGATTACTTCGGTCATGTTGGAGTTCGGCCATGGTAATAACCATCTCACTTGGTTTAAGCAGTGAGGGGGGTGTAGGAGGATAAGGATTATCCTTCAGGAGGTTAAATCCTAGGAGGACTCTGCATGGAGGAGTAGAAGTCCTACTAGGATTGTGCCACACGAAACCTATAAAAGCTCACAAACATCACCTTTGGAGAGGTAACACACAACTTTGCTTTCTGAATACACAGGGCTTTTGTCTATTTGTCAAGCTTACTGACTTAGGCATCGGAGAGGTTTCCGGCACACACCCGCCGGCTAGCTCACGTTTAAGGTTTCAGGTCATAAAGCGACGACATACAGAGGAGCGCAGACTTGATCAACAGGATTATACGAGAAAGTTTATTTCTTTCCCGTACAAATAAGGAACACGATTTTGTTAATGCAAAAATATGTGACACCAAAATTTTGATGCATAAGATTATTCTTAAGAAATAGTAATTACAAGAGAAGGCAGTTACGTATAGCGAAAAACATTTTATATTTTTTTTTAACTTCCTAAGTAAATTCACATAATAAGCTTATATGTACACATACAACTTACATACTCTAGCTTTTGGTTTACTTCAACTACCTGTATATATTTATATTTTGCTTAAAAAGTACAGAAACTAATGAATAACCAATAACAAAACTATACACACAACTCTTTATATGAAGCTCATTTTTATAGATCCCACACCCATATAAAAGTTGTCTGATTCTGTGATTAATTTCTGTATTCCTAGAAGAATAGTTTTTAAACCAAAGCAAAGAGCTTTTCCACACTCAAAATGGAGTAATGCATTGTAATTACTCTCTACACAAGAATTTCCGTCCCACACAATTCAAAATTATTTTATAAGCAAAGCAACTTGGAACCACTCTCCATATAATCCTATCAGAACTATCTGAAGCAATAGTCAGATCTTCAAAGCCGAGTTACATATAGAAGGTGTCAAGGGTCGTTTGCACCATCAAAAACAATATCAGATCATAGAAGGTAACTGCATCATGGTGTTGTTCCACTATCTTCATCATCGCCATCTCCATTACCTTCAGAGTCCTTTGGTTTCTCACCATTTGCTGGCTTATCTGCTGTCAAATAGCGCCCAGTCATAGGATCAATTGGGCGGGTGTCCCTTGGCCCGCCTTTGCGACCCATAGCCAGCATTGGCGGTGGGGGTAGCAACCTTGATCTAAACAGAAGGCGTTCAACAGGCTCTGATGGCTGAGCACCAACTGATAACCAATACCTGCAAAAATTGGGAAAAACATCAAGCGGGAACTAAAACATATGGATCTTTTTCCCTTTAAATAAAACCTTTTAGTATATAGTTTGAAGACTCTTACTTGGAAAACCTAAAACAATATGCCAGTATACAATTTATTTATTTTTGGGTACAAATGAGTGCTATTGTAGTCGGTCTAACCTCACACATGTGTGCCTATGAGAACATTTCTTATGAAATTCATCCAGCAGAGGATCCTGAATTTGAGATTTCTACACCAAAAAATTCTCTTAAACAAACGTATTCGTCCTTAGATGATGGCTCGAGATCAGCCTCATGAAATTCTAATATTCCTTAAGGAGGTCCTACCCTGTGGAAATGCTCATTAACGAAACTTTTAGCTTTAACTGATCGTGGCCACGAAACCACCGCTTTCCCACAGTTTTACTCTCATCTCATCAGATGACGGAAAAAATAAATGGGAAATAAGCGAATTTACAGGCAATGAAAAGTTTTGCATGAAGCTGAAATCTAATACTGGAAAAACTCCAAGTTCATGAATGGATTCTTCAAATTCTACAGGTTACTGATAGTCTAAGAAGTCGATCGATACATGATATAAAGATCACTTGAATTTACAAAAACATATGCTTTTAGCTTTCATTGTTAGCATGGTGATAAATCAAATTTGATATCAATCCTTAGGTAGTGTTTGGTTCATTGGAATTAAAGTGGATTGGAATGAAATAATTATTCCATAAATTCCTTACCGAATGATCATTCCCTTACCATAATGAATAATAATTCCATTTGCAATGCATTTTTCATAATTTTTTTAGTAAACCAAATATCAGAATGGATATTATGATGAAATGATCATTTCATCCCAGCTCATTCTAATGAACCAAATATGAAATTAAATTAATCAAATAGATTACATACCACTACAAGAATTAACACTTTTTACAACAAAAAAATTGGTCGCTAAAAGTTAATTTTTGGTCGGCAAAAGTTATCCGCGACCAATTTTTTTGGTCGCTAATTTGGTCGCCAATTGAGGGTCGGGAAAAGTAATTCGCGACCAAAATTGTGGTTGGTCGGCAAAAGTTTGATTTGCCGACTAAATTTTTGGTCGCTAAATATTTAATTACCGCGACTAATTTATTTTGTTGCCAAAACACTTTGGTTGCGAAAAGTGATATTTTCCCGACCAAATTTCTTAGTCGCCAATTGTCACATTTCGCGACCAAAAAGTTTGGTCGCCAATTTTTGGTCGCCAATTATCACATTTCGCGACCAAAAAAATTCGTCGCCATTTGTTACTTTTCGAGACCAGAACTTTTGGTCGGTAAAAGTGAGTTTCCACGACCAAGAGCTGTTTTGGTCGACAATAGATGTATTTTTTGCGACCAAAACTCTTAGTCGGCAATTTTCATTTTTTGCGAAAAAAAATTATTTATTTGTCGCGACTAATAAATTGGTCGCCAAAGCAGAAAAACAATACACCTGTAATTCCTAATAATTCATTCAATCCATAATAAACCTATAATTTTAAAGCATCATTCAAATTAACTGAATCATTAACAAGATTTCTTTCCCATATTGTTGGAGAAAACCTTCATAGGAGTGGAAGGAACTTGCCAGTTAGCAAAGCACATGAATCATAATAAGGCTTTGTAAGGAAAACTATATGTACAAACAACAGAATATGCTACCAACTTTTTTTTATAAAAAAGATTCAAATTAGAATTTACATATTAGCAGGCAAGCGAAACATGCATGGTATGACTTAAATTTGGAAGAAACCCCAATTGTCTTAGAAGGCTTTTACAGCCTTTACAAAGTTGGAAACCAGATAGCAAGTAATAAGTTCAATATTTGATGATGTTCTGCCTTTGCTATGTTTTGTCACTGGACCAAACAAAGCAATTGACGCATCTCTCAAAGGAACCCAACAGAATTCAACACAAATGAAGGTTATGTAATTACTCCTACTATATGGTTATGATGTAAACAAAAAACCTCAGTTTCAGACACATTAGAACAACATACCAATAACAGAACCCTAACAGAAACCTAAATTCCACATGAAAAACTTCAAAATCAAAAATCCAAGTGCTCTGTAGTCAAAGCCCCTAGTTTATTTCTATTGAATTGGATCGGATAGGATAATCAATAACCAGAATTTTTAAAAAATAAAATAAAATAAAATAGAATTCAATATCTTCATTGACCCTAAAGTAAAGATATGCCTGCATTGTATAGATAAACATCCAAACATCAATAATTGCAAAGCAACCCTCAAAGTATCAGGAAAACCCCAAGATCCAACAAAGAAAAATCTGAAGTAACCCTAATCAATAATCATCAGTCGTAGACAAAGATTTAAGAATTATAATTCGAAAATAAAACCCTAAATCCTGAAGTTACCAAAACCCTAGATCTGTAAATAACCTTTCTCAAATTCAACAAGCAATCACGGGCCACATTAAAAAATCTAAAACAGCATATATATCCATTACACAAAAACACTCAAAAGCCATTAACCAATGTGTCACCTTCAATTCACACAATATAAATTAAAATCTGATGTTGGCAAGGCAAGTAAGGTTTAATTTTCCTGGATTAAAAATCAAAGAGCATAATAAAGCACATGCATTTCAAACAGAAGCATGTGTTCACAAAAATACCTAGTATGGATCACAATTGTCCAAATCTGAGCCTATAAAACCAACAAATGACTAATTTGTTCCCTGTTTGCATTCTACTTCTCTCAATGTATGGATGTTTGCATCTCCACACGCAAGACGGGTTGCACATGAAGGAAGGTGTGGAAAGTTTGACATACATTGTTGGGCCAATTTCCTAACATCTTAAGCTTTTGGAAAAATTGGTGATCTGACATAGCAATATTGTTATAATGACCACATTTTTAACCATCTTATATGGTATCATTGCGTTGGTTTAAAGGGCCGCACCAGTCATGTCTGATACCAACGCAACAATGACACATGAGATGGTAAACACTTTAAGGTACACAAATGTGGTCATTGTGGCATTATTGCTAGGAGAGTCTTGAATTTCTAAAACTCATGCAAACACAGCCTGAAGTTTCTAAAGCTCAATCCACTGAATTAAAAAACTACAAAGATTTCTATATAAGCTGGTTTTACCTAACATTATAAGACCCATGTACATTTGTGTTCAGCAAATCTTGAGATCACCAAAATATCATTACTCATAAAACCAAATCAAACTGTACCAGCGACATACTAAATGGAAAAATACATAATAAACATTCAACCCAAAATTTTGACTAGACAAGGTCTGAAGTATTCTCCAGTCTTTTCTTGTTATTATGGTCCACATCAGTCAATGAAGTGACATTTTCCATCTTGCCTTAATGTAGTTTTGTGGACAGACATTTAGTTGGAAAAATCAAAAAAGTTTTTCTTTATGATGTCAAAAATTATTCTCTCAAGCAGATTATTACATCAGCTTGTAATATTTTAGAGAAATTTTCTAGTTAATTGGCAGTGCCCAGAGCCATGTTGCCTCCAAAATGACATCAATCCTCAAGGACAATAAATATATTTGCAAGCAGTCAAATCTCAGACATCATACAACTTGCGTCCCAAAGATGTAGAGGTATATGAGCCATAAGCTAGATGAGAAACTACAAGCTACACAAGAAATGAGGCTACAGATGATGTTGTCATAGATCTCCACAAAAGCATAAAGATCCCTCAATCAAATCATAATAATCAAATTGTTGAAACCAAATCTCAGATAAACAATTTTTTCTAAAACTCATGCTAAATATATTCTTGGACCAACCAATGTGTGGCACGTAGTTTGTCAGATGGCTTTTATTAATGCTCAGCCCCAAGCTTGGTTTCACATAAAAAATCCTCCCATTAATTATATAAATTTGGGAGGAATAAGTTGCCCTTTCTCCTTTTACTGTCTAGTGCACACATCCTTTTTGGGTGAGGAAACAAGCACCAAACGTAAAACTAGTACAGCAACTTACATGCATTGTATGAGTCTTCCCACTGCTAGTGACACCGTATGCAAATACAGTACCTGCAAAATACATTGTTGACCGTAGAATGAATACATTGTTGACATTGTGGCAAATGTTACTATGGTTTAGTGATTTTCCATTATCAATTGAACTAGCATGAGGCGTCATCATAAATTTATAGATCCCCCAAGATGATCTAGAATTAATATCAAGCATAATTCCAGCAGAAATGGATGAAGTTATACAAGAAAGCACTAATGGATAGCTCTTTTCAACCAAAAAAAACAAGAAGCAGGGGGAAAAAAGGTTTTCAGAAAATGACCACAAAGACAGATGATACTATTAAGAGATTATCATGGTAAGGAAATATAACATAAGGGATTGGGGAATGATGAGAATGTGTTTATAAAAAAGGGAATAGAGATGAACTGCAAATTAACTTCTTAATTTAGAGCCAATTCCCTTGCAAGCAGGTGTCTTTTAACATGTTACAGCCTATTTCCTTCAAGAACATACTTATTTTTCCAAACTATTATGCTTAGCAAATGTTCCACGTTATAGTTTATTATGAAGAGGACAGAACTCTAGCAACAATAGTATTTGATTGATATGGAAGTCTGGTTAAAGAGGAGAAAACATTGCACCAAAAGGATGTATAAAAGGGGCGAAATGGATATTCATGTCATGTCAAAGAAGTCACAATAGAATAATGTTTGCAGTAACAGAAAAGAGTTGCAGACATCTCCTCACTTGTTTCTCTCATTCAAAACCGTGCATGAGACTTTCATCTCACACTGCTCCTAAGTGATAAAACAAAGAACTCGTCTTCTTTCTTTTTTGATTACCTTCCTCACGAATGTATAATAAGACCAAAGTCATTCAATTTCTAAAAAAGATTACCAATCCTTAAATACTGGTGTGTAAATACTGGTGTGTGTGTCACATAAAAAAGAAACAAACCTGGATAACATAGAGAATATCAGGGAGGTGATTTTTGGACTCATCAACAGGACCTGCATAGAGTTCAATAAATACATCAGGCATTAAGGGAGGGAGATAGACAAGCATTAATGGATAGCAAACATAACAAGTAATATACCAAGTAACACAAATAAGTGATGCGCTGGAGCATTCGCCATTAATTGTAGATCATTTGGAGAATTTTTGTAGTGCGAAGCAACATAGAGGGGGGAAATTTGTTATACTATGTTGCAAAACCTCGAAAAGATTTTCTTCCACCAAAAAAGAGACCTTTAAAAAAATTCAGCATACTATGGGTACTATACTGTAGCTTCGCCAGGTATCAATGGCACCAAAAACTTGGCAGAGCTAATAAGCAGATATTGCAGCAGTCATACAATGAGGCATGGGGTCCTGGGGACTCATTTGATAATGAGACAGATCAAACTAGATGTGTCACATGATAATCAAAGGGAGAAAATTAGAAGTAACTATATCACACAACCTAAATCAGTGACATTAATTGAAATTCTAAAAAAAGCAGTATGAGATCCCAAGTCCAAGGAAAGATAATGAGTTCCTTGACTAAGTCAAAATCCCAGGGGATATGTCATTACACAACTTTTCTGACAACAAATATATGTTTTTGAATTCAAATGCATAGAAAAGCATTACCTCAATTCCACTCTGTAATCGATTTACTTGACTGATTATTGACAATAATCAGTCTTTACCATTACCTCAATTCCACCAACAAATATAAAGAAACATACACACATACACACATAAAGATGAGTAGATACACACATACACATATAAAGATGAAGAACTACCAGGTCTTTGTTGTTCGAGATGATTTTTTCTTTTCATTTTTGTTCATTCATTAATGAGTAGATATTGGTTTTTAAAAAGATTACCTTACAACAGCGAAGTCGCATCCTGATTTTCAGAAACTGATGCAGTACCCTGAAATTCAGATTGAATTAAAGAAAATGCAATGGAAATCGTTCAGATCTGGAGCTTCGATGGAGCTTCGAAACTGCAGTGGTGGTGCGTACGATTGGAAGTGAGGGCACTGGAGGGCGCAGGTTAAGGAGGGTAAGGCGGTTGGGTTAGGGTTTGGTGGCGGCGGAGCTGGAGGGGCGGCGAGGCAACTGATGAGAGAGGTCGATGGCCGACCTGAGACTGAGAGGAACGAAAGAGCCATTCCCGTATGGCAGTGGCGGGAATGGATAATCTCATTTCTTACGAATTGGTATTCATTTCCCCCCTCCATGTTTCAAATTTCCCCCCCACACTTTTGGTGACCAAAAGACCATATTAGTCGCAGAAAAAGTACTTTCGCCGACAAACTTTTTTAGTCGCGCCAAATCTCAATCAACGGCGACTAAAATATTAGTCGCTAAAAGTACTAATTTGGCGACTAATTTTTTTTGGTTGCTGAAAATAAGTTTTTCGCAACCAAATTTTTGGTCGCCAAAAAATATGTGACCTTCCGCGACCAAATTTGTAGTTGGTCGGCAAAAGTATACCACTTTCTGCGACCAACATATTTTTTGGTCGCCAAAATATAACCTTCTGCGACCAATAAAATTTGGTTGCCAAAATTAATGATCATTCGCGACTAATTAATATTTGGTCGACAAACGTCATTTTTTTACGACTAAAATTTTTTTAGTCGATAAAAATGATCACAAAATATATAAATTCTTGTAGTGTACTTTGTACCGCCCGAATCTCACTTATGCGGTTGTCTTACCATGCCATTTTCATATACTCAAGTCAAAAGGCAGGATTTGGCAATGCCGAAGTCTTCAGTAAGGCACTGCGGGAATCTGGGGTCTTGTGGCTTGGTGGCTAGAGACAATGATGTCACTTGCCATGATGCCATGCAGGTGTTACTGCCTTAGGCTAGTCTTACCAAGAGAGACTGTCTCTATGCATTTGTACTGTCACTCAAGGATCGAGGCAAATCCAAACTGAATGATACATTTGCGTCATTTGTCCTCAGTGGTGCTTTTAAGTTGGCCTGATGATTTCTTATTTCCTGCACCTTTTTTGAAAATATTTTTTTCATTTGCTTATTCAATATCTGAAATCAGCTATGTGTCTTTTCCAGTGAATTTGGTTTCTTAGATTTGAAGGAGCAGACAGATAGCAAATGACTTGAATTTGCATGGTGGTGAACTTTAATTATCTGAAATCAACTTAACCCCCACACATTCTCAAACCACACAAATTTATTTAAGTTGGTGCGATTTGGCACAATTTTTCTCAATACCCTAAATATAATTGAATAAGGAACACGATTTTGTTAATGCAAAAACACGTGACACCAAAATTTTGATGCATAAGATTATTCTTAAGAAATAGTAATTACAAGAGAAGGCAGTTACGTATAACGAAAAACATTTTATATATTTTTTTAACTTCCTAAGTAAATTCACATAATAAGCTTATATGTACACATACAACTTACATATTTGGTTTACTTCAACTACCTGTATATATTTATATTTTGCTTAAAAAGTACAGAAACTGATGAATAACCAATAACAAAACTGTACACACAACTCTTTATATGAAGCTCATTTTTGTAGATCCCACACGCATATAAAAGTTGTCTAATTCTGTGATTAATTTCTGTATTCCTAGAAGAATAGTTTTTAAACCAAAGCAAAGAGCTTTTCCACACTCAAAATGGAGTAATGCATTGTAATTACTCTCTACACAAGAATTTCCGTCCCACACAATTCAAAATTATTTTATAAGCAAAGCAACTTGGAACCACTCTCCATATAATCCTATCAGAACTATCTGAAACAATAGTCAGATCTTCAAAGCCGAGTTACATATAGAAGGTGTCAAGGGTCGTTTGCACCATCTAAAACAATATCAGATCATAGAAGGTAACTGTATAGACTGGTTTCAAGGGGCGGTTGCACCATCTTCATCATGGTGTTGTTCCACTATCTTCATCATCGCCATCTCCATTACCTTCAGAGTCCTTTGGTTTCTCACCATTTGCTGGCTTATCTGCTGTCAAATAGCGCCCAGTCATAGGATCAATTGGGCGGGTGTCCCTTGGCCCGCCTTTGCGACCCATAGCCAGCATTGGCGGTGGGGGTAGCAACCCTGATCTAAACAGAAGGCGTTCAACAGGCTCTGATGGCTGAGCACCAACTGATAGCCAATACCTACAAAAATTGGGAAAAACATCAAGCGGGAACTAAAACATATGGATCTTTTTCCCTTTAAATAAAACCTCTTAGTATATAGTTTGAAGACTCTTGGAAAACCTAAAACAATATGCCAGTATACAATTTATTTATTTTTGGGTACAAATGAGTGCTATTGTAGTCGGTCTAGCCTCACACATGTGTGCCTATGAGAACATTTCTTATGAAATTCATCCAGCAGAGGATCCTGAATTTGAGATTCCTACACCAAAAAAATTCTCTTAAACAAACGTATTCGTCCTTAGATGACGGCTCAAGATCAGCCTCATGAAATTCTAATATTCCCTAAGGAGGTCCTACCCTGTGGAAACGCTCATTAATGAAACTTTTAGCTTTAACTGATCGTGGCCACGAAACCACCGCTTTCCCACAGTTTTACTCTCATCTCATCAGATGACGGAAAAAATAAATGGGAAATAAGCAAATTTACAGGCAATGAAAAGTTTTGCATGAAGCTGAAATCTAATACTGGAAAAACTCCAAGTTCATGAATGGATTCTTCAAATTCTACAGGTTACTAATAGTCCAAGAAGTCGATCGATACATGATATAAAGATCACTTGAATTTACAAAAACATATGCTTTTAGCTTTCATTGTTAGCATGGTGATAAATCAAATTTGATATCAATCCTTAAGTAGTGTTTGGTTCATTGGAATTAAAGTGGATTGGAATGAAATAATTATTCCATAAACTCCTTACCGAATGATCATTCCCTTACCATAATGAATAATAATTCCATTTGCAATGCATTTTTCATAATTTTTTTAGTAAACCAAATATGAGAATGGATATTATGATGAAATGATCATTTCATCCCAGCTCATTCCAATGAACCAAATATAAAATTAAATTAATCAAATAGACTACATACTTTGTACTGCACGAATCTCACTTATGCGATTGTCTTACCATGCCATTTTCATATACTCAAGTCAAAAGGCAGGATTTGGCAATGCCGAAGTCTTCAGTAAGGCACTGCGGGAATCTGGGGTCTTGTGGCTTGGTGGCTAGAGACAATGATGTCACTTGCCATGATGCCATGCAGGTGTTACTGCCTTAGGCTAGTCTTACCAAGAGAGACTGTCTTTATGCATTTGTACTGTCACTCGAGGATCGAGGCAAATCCAAACTGAATGATATGTTATGACATATTCCCTGGCATATTGTAAAAGAATATCGGAATATCCAGAAAGTTTGTTATCAAACACATGAACCACCCCAATAAATGGGAGATGGTACCTCTCTCTCTCTCTCTCTCTCCCCCCCTCCTCTTCCGATGTTCCTCCGGTTTGTCCACCTATAAACATGTGCTTCCACTCTCTAGTGAATCCCTGACCCCCCATAAGTACTACCTATGCCAACTAATTAAAGTTCACCACCATGCAAATTCAAGTCATTTCCTATCTGTCTGCTCCTTCAAATCTAAGAAACCAAATTCACTGGAAAAGACACAGAGCTGATTTCAGATATTGAATAAGCAAATGAAAAAAATATTTTCAAAAAAGGTGCAGGAAATAAGAAATCATCAGGCCAACTTAAGAGCACCACTGAGAACAAATGACGCAAATGTTCATTTTCCAACAAATAGAGAATTCTAATAAGAGAAGCAACGAAGACGTTCTGATCCATTAAAAATTCAACTAAGCCAAATGTTTGATGAAGGTCTGGCTATGGATCGAACAAACCTGAGACTGAAAATCCATATATTCAGTGACAACAAACTGTAGAGTACACGTGTAATGAATGGAAAGACAGACCACATAAGAGTAGAAAAAGGCAATTCTATTCCCACAATGAAGTATTGCTTCTCTAATGTCCAACAAATTGTCAACAAAACCAACGGTTCTTGCTTTTCCAACTAGGACAGGCTAGTGTTCTAGTGGCCAATTACTGTCATACTCAAGAAAGGGACACCAGTTCTACAAGCCCTTGACAATTGCCAATAAGGCCACAACCATTTTAAGTGTTTGTCTAGTGAAGTTGCCTTGGGGGAGATATGTCATACCATTCAAGTTCATTCTTCTAATTACTGTTTCTGCCACCACGCTTCATTAACACTACAATTAATAAATTAACACAAAATACTTCCTATTCACACCTCTCATCTTCACATACATATTTAGGCCAAGTTTGGCATGATTGAAAAAAGGCAAAAAGTCAAAAAGTCACTATCCTATTTAAGTCACATCATCTTATTTAAGTCACATCACCTCTCTAACACATCACTTCAAACACAACCCAAACCCAACCCATATTTCATAAAAAGTCAAAAAGTGCACTTATTTAGTCTTCCCAAACTAGGCCTTAATTGAAAACCTTTTCCCCTCTCTCCTAACAATCTGCATGGGGTACATAAAGAATGTAAACATACACTGACATACATAACTTAAGAGTGGCTGCATCATTTTCCTAGGCTATAACTCCATTGTTCATTGAGGGCTATAACTTATGTTGCAGACTCTAAACCATAATCAATCATGTAACACAAGTCTAGAAAATTTGCTTCACGTGGTTAAAGCATCCAGCTATGAACACTTCTACGTTTACAAGTTTCGAATTATTTATAGAGAGATAAACTTCTAAAAAAACACACTTACTTCACTCTGTCAAAATTAAGACCCATTCGTTTACCACCATCTTGACCTGTACAAATCAAACACATTGAAACAATTAGTAATAACAAAAATCAAACTACACCACAAAAGCATATTAGATTTAACTCTAA